GGTTTTTTAATAGAAATGAGTAAGGGATTGTGGGAAACAATTTTTTTGAAATGTGTAAATCTTTTTGGGACGGAGAGAGTATTACAACAAAAGAATATTTAAATTATACGGAGTAATTGTTTGAAGTTCCCGCATTGGAAAAAGTAATAAAATATCATTAGCATATATATATAGAAGAGTGAAGTTCTATCAATCAATTTAAACTTTTGAGTTAGAAAGTGGATTCCGACTTCATATAAAAGTGGCTAATTTTTCCTTTTTTAACCAAATGCAGATCAATCATTCCTGCCAAAGAGGGACATGGAGTGGTTCTTCTTCTGCCCAAGGGACAAGAAGTACCCAAACGGATCAAGAACCAACCGAGCCACCAAATCCGGATACTGGAAGGCCACGGGCAAAGACCGGAAGATCGTTTGCCCGCCCGACACAACTGGGTACCGAAAGACGCTGGTCTTCTACCGCGGGCGGGCTCCTCTTGGGGATAGGACCGATTGGGTCATGCACGAGTATCGCATCTCCCAAGAGGATTCTCATGGCAACCTCATCTTTCAGGTCATAATATATACTCCCTCCATCCCAAAGAAAAGATTACGTTTCATTTTTTTGTGCATCCCAAAAAACACTTATGCCCACATCTAAAATGCGTAAAAATTATCATATTTACCCTTTATTGTGGGTAGAAGTCATTTTGAAAACTCTTTTGGCATTTGGGACAATATAAAAGTGTGTTATGAGATGCGCAAAAAATGAAACGTAACCTTTTTATGAGACCGAGGGAGTATTATTGTAATCTAGGTTTTATTATGTGAGTGGAATTATAAGCTTTTTCGAGGATTTCTTTTTGGTTTTTTTACCTCATGCATTTTTTGGTTTCGAAGTTTTTGTAGGGGCAAAAGTGTCCATAACTTTTGCCTCCTGGTTTTTTTGACAGGGTCCCTTTGCCCTATGCCGAGTTGTGAAGAGGAACCACCCTCAAATGCAAGAGAAGGCTGGGTGCAGCAGTTCAAGCAATAACAATGCAGAGAAATATTACTCATCTTTACCTGCAACGCCAAATGACCAAATTGCCCTCAACATGGGCAGCTCCGAGAGTGCATACTCCACTCCCATCACTTCTCCCTACCATCCATCCCAAGTGACAACACCAAATGACCAGTTTGCCCTCAACATGAGCTCCGAGAGCAACTACTCCACTCCCATCGCTTCCCCTACTCGCTACCATGCGGTGAGCGCGGGAGATTATGAGTTCGGCATGCAGCCAGACACTTGCAGTGTCTGGATGTCGGCCGATATGGTTCTTGATTCTTCCAAGGAGTGCCCTCAGCACTATTCTTATCATCCAAACGCGGCACAATGGCAACCGTATGATAACCGCGAGCCCTCTCCCCCTTCTTTGTCTCCTTTCTTTGGCCATGGAAACTTCATGGGCATTTTGGGAAATGAACATGGCGGCACGCCATATGAAGGTTGTCATGGCTCCTCAAGAAATCTAAACCTTTTCTAAGCTAAGTTGCATGCTAGGAGGCCGGGAGGGAAATGACTTCCGGAAGCCATTTTTTCATTTTCTAGTGTTTGGTTGTTCTGAAGAATATGAATCAACGCAACATGATTTCTGAAGTCAGCTAAAAATGAGTAGAAAAAAGATTTCAGCTTTTTTACTGGCAGGAGACAATTAATTTCCACAATTCTCTTACTTCTTTGATCGAAACTTACCACATCGAAACTTATAACAAGAAAAACTGCCTTTTTTCTATTTTGTAAACTTTCAACCAAACACGAGAAAATGAATTTATTTTAATTCCTAGAAGTCATTTTTCATTATTCCAATTAAGGAGACTTTTATTTTAGAGTAACTGTGAATCAATTTTAAACCGGGGTGATGTCTGCGTACACACACTCTTCTTTTATTTTATGGTAACAGTGAATCAATTCCTGTATAACCTTTTGAATTTTACTTGAAATTTGGATTGAACTTTAATTTCACAAATGGATGAATTCTCTATTGATGGTGGAAGTGTCATTTGAAATTTAAAAAGGCAACTTTTGCTCCAAGCTAAGTTTGCTAAAATTGTAGGACGATCAAGATCGTGTTTGACAAAAAAATATTGTTAAGCAAAAAAAAAAAAAAAATAAAGACGTGTTTTGCCAGGGAGAGAAATAGAGAAGAAAGAGTGACAAGAAAGAAAGATTAGTAACAATGTGGGTTTTTAGTTTTTAAAAAAAAGAGAAATATCAAGTAGAAGAACACATAAAAAGAGCTTTTCTTAAATTTATGGGAGAAAGACCAAAGTAGGACTAAAACATTGCAAATATACCAAAATAGGATTTTCATGTTTTTATTCCCGAAATAGAACTTACATTACCAAACATGGTCATATACATTACCAAGAAAGTATAGTAATTTGCACATGTACACTGCCACATTACCACAATGCAAAGTCACATTACCACAATGCAAAGTCCTATTCCGGGAACAAAAACATGAAAGTCCTATTTTGGTACTTTTCTCTATGTTTTAGTCCTATTTAGGATGATTTCTATAAATTTATTTGTCCATTTAATTAACAATTGATTAAGAAACCTGGGGTAAGCTGACAAAAATAACCTTATAGTAAGAAAAATAATAATAGTGGAAACCAAAAATTTAATTCCTCCTATTTCACTCCATGCCAAACAACCACTTTATGTCTTTCGTTCTTTCTTCTTCACATCTCTTGTACCAAACAAAGCCTTAGCTATAGAAGATATGTGGAATGAAAAGTTGGACTTGGTCATTTGTTGAGTGAAGTCTTAAGAATAAGCTGTGATGAAAAGTGGTGGCTGCTTTCTTAAAAGCCATGTCTCATTCACTTGACTTTGAAAGTGAAACCACACATCTTTTTTATTCTTCTTCCCATACCTATATCTGGAAAAAAAGATGTGATAAATCCTCCTAGGCCGAAATAAATTGAGATATAATCTCAATCTGACCGATATAGAATGAAGTTTTGTGAGACGTATTGAGTTGGCCGGGTTTTCATGCATGATAGTCTCTCATTACAGTTGTTAGTATTCAAACTCAAGTCTCTCGGTACAGTTGTTAGGATTCAAACTCGTATCTGCCCCTTGTGACACTTCTGATATCAACCAGTTGAGTTACGTTCACTGACAGCCAATGCATGTATTTTTTCCATACAGTTGTTAGTATTCAAACTCAAGTCTCTCGGTACAGTTGTTAGGATTCAAACTCGTATCTGCCCTTTGTGACACTTCTGATATCAACTAGTTGAGTTACGTTCACTGACAACCAATGCATGTATTTTTTCCACATGTCCCGGGGGACCACTAGCTTCCAAATTTCTTCAAAAAAGAAAAAGGTCTGGGACCCACATGTTTTTTAGGCTTCTTTTTTGAATGGTCTTTCTGATAAAAATTAACAGCATGGGGGAGAACCTAGGTAGGCAGCTAGGAAGTTGGGGAATGCAGTAAAAACCATTTGGTCATCAATTCTTCACTGCAGATTTCCCAAATATCTGGAGGTTTTTGGTGCTTTAGTCTTTTATGATTTCAAATGTTTTTGAGCTAGTGAACAAAAAAATAAAAATGAATGCATTGTCAAAATGTTAGAGTGGCTTTCATTAATTCTTGCAGCAATGCCTGTTTGGTTCAAAGGAATGACATGTGTTTACTGTGTAAAGTTTAGCAGTGTGCAGTGATCACACTACATTTAGACCATACATAGAGCTCTGGATCTTCCAAAACAAACAGGAAAACTTTATTTAACACCAAACATGTCTGTCTTCTTAGAAGACCCACCCAAACATAAAAAAAACAATAGAAATGTATAGACTTTACTCTCTCTTTTTTTTCTTCTTGCTATCTATGATAATGTCATATCCTTGGCTGGCTGCAAAAGGAGGTGTTACACCTTAAGAAGACGCACCAAAAACGCGAATGCGCTGTTCAATCGGGACCCGGCAGGACGGACACGTGGCTCTTCCCTTCTTCCCATAACTCTCATTGCAACTGGCACACAAAACCTGGTGAGCACAAGGGAGGAAAACAACAGAGACTTCGTCCTTTGAGCAAATTATGCACTCCCTGTCACACCCATTGCCCTCTTTTTCTTGACCAGAAGAACTCTTCTCAAAGTTGTCCAGTTCCTGCAGCAACCTGGCAATGTCTCCAGGGGTAGTAACGGAATTATGATGGTTGTTGTGGGTGTCGGCAGTTTGTTCGGACGATGATTTGAGGCGGGAAAGTTCTTGCTCGAGGCGAAGGAGGTCGTCTTTCTGTCTCTGGAAGTCTATTTCCACCTTGAGGCGAAGTGCCTCGAGCTTTCTTTTGTTATTGGCTTCTGTGGCCTCTTTGAGCCTCCGTTCCTCCTCTACTTGTGCCATTGCTTGCTCCTTGGCTTTCTGTTCCTGCCACCACTTTGCCTGTCACCAGAAACAGCATTTGAAAAACAAAATTAAAAAATAGATGTGAGAAAGTTGTTGGCTTAGGGTTTGTTTGGATGGAGGTTTAAGGGTTTAAACTTAGACAAAATTCAAAACAGCAGAAATACAACTCAAGAAGATAAATGAGCAACCTGGCTTAAGTCAAACATCAAGCTTGCATTGATGCTAACAAGTAACGACAATTAAAGGAAGAACTTTTTTTCTCAATAAGTCCGGAATGGTTCTATTAACCCCAAAGAGATGAATGAAAGTGGTGTTAAAAGAACTCGCAGTGAAGCAAATATTCATAACAAAAAGTGGGCCAAACTTACCGTTATGAAGGGATGAAATGAGTGGTAAGTGTGGCCTAAACCACTCTGCAAAATGGATTCAGCTGATATGACAAGGTCCAAGTAACAAACTTGTCTCTCCCCAAACACACTCTTGGCTTGTTTAAGAAAAATGCTATGCACTCTCAACATATTAAACGCAATCATGATGTGTTGAAGATGATATACCCTTATCCGGTTGTAAACTAAGATGTCGTCAAAAAAATACAAAAACAAACTTATGCAAATAAAAATTAAACACCTTGGTCATCAATGCTTGAAAAATGGATGAGTGCATTGGATTATCCTGCTGGAATTTTAGAATTGAGCATACTTTACAGCTTATCTAGTCACACATAAACCACTATCACAACCGTGATAGATTTGTAGCTAACTTTAGGCAATTAGCCTTGACCAGCTGATGCAAATATCTATATGTACTTTACATTTTTAAACATCCAGTGGAAAATGGAAAATGATATTGTTATAATTGGGAAGCCATTAATTATATAACGGGTTTCTAAACAGAACGCACCTCGGCTTCCTTTTTAGATGCCTCCACCTGAGCCAATTGTGCGACCAACTCCGAAATCTTCTGTTTCTCAGATGCAATATCCTCTTGAAGTTTGGCTTTCTGCTTCTCCCAAGCTGAAAGCTTCTTCAGGCATTTCTTCTCCCTCTTGGCAACTTCCATACATGTCATTGCAGATTCAGAAGCACTCAGTTTACAAGCCTCCATTTCTGCTCTAATCTCTGCATTCTCATTCTCAAGCTTCTTCACGGCCGAGTTGGCACGGTCCACCTCGCCACTCGCTTTACGAAGTGCGTTCTCCATTTCTGTCAGTCTCTTCATGGTGTTGTCTTCTAGAACCTGCTTCCCTTTCTTCACGCCTTGTGTTTCCTCCCTTTCCATCCTCAGCAGCTTAAGCTCAGTCAAGTCATTGCTTAGCTTCCTTGCGGCCTGCATTGCTTTCTGATGGGCCCACTCCTTCCTTTCCTTAACCTGCCTCTCAAGATCCTTTGCTTGACGGACCAAACTAACAATTGTCTCCTCCTTTTGATCCATACCCTCTTCAAGATTCAAATCACGGAACTTGTTCAAAACTGAAAGGACCACGTCTTGGCCGGATTCCTCACCCTTTCCAGCACCACCTTCCTCTTCAGCCATTCCCGGCCCGGCCCGCGCTTGGTTTTGCGAAGCTTTAGTGTTTGACCTAAAACCAGCAGCGAAAGCCGCGACATTCCTCTTCAACAGATTCTTCATTGAAGGAGAGAGATTGAACCTCTTCGGGCACTCAATCTCTTTCTGCATGAAATTCCCATTTAAATCATTAGGGTTCTCGTGAAACCTACACGCCGAAGATGGTGCAGCATTTGAGACAGCATTTGGCTGGGAAAGAAGGGGGACGTCCATCACGCTGGCACGGCCCACATGAAGATCACTCATTAGCAAGCACCACATAGCATCCCCTTTACTCAAGTGTGGTTTAACCTGCTGGAGTAAACAAACCATCCCAGCCAAAGAGTATTCCAGCATCTGCTTCATATCTGTGAAATTGTTCTTCTCGGAATCCTCGGAGCGTTTACTATCAGAACTGTTCAAGTAAGACAGGGCATTATGCATTATATTGGTCAGCACATCCATTCCTCCATAGCAGAACCCATTCTTGAGCACAGCCTTCAAAGCCACATCCTCTGTATACCCAAACGAAATGAGCCTAACAATGGCCTCGTTGTGTAGAACCTCCAAATTCCTCAACAGGATCTCCTCCAGTTGCTCCTCGGTACAGTAACCCCATCCATTCTCGTCAACTCCGGGAATCTGGTTCGGATTCATCAAGGTTTTGGCCGGACAGTTACTTCCCGCACAGCAATCGGAAGGTCGGATCCCGGATTCCATGGCGGATTTAGACATCGCGGCTCTCTCGGAAGCGTTCTTGCTTTTGCCGACTTCCGGGTCGGGTTTCGCCGATCGGGTCTTCCGACTGGCGCGGATATGCTTCTCTCTCGTGTTACAGCCCATCGCCGGGATTGTGGGTACCGACTGGAAATCCAAGCTGGAGCTTGATTTTCTTGTTTGTGAGAAATGATTGAAAAAAAACACGCAGGAAAAGCAAGAAATTGAGTTGAATAAGATTGCGGATTGAATAGTTTTTTGGATGAATTGAATCAAGAAACATAAAAAGATTGAGATAAAGGTGAGATGTAAAGATTCAGAGATGGGACTCACATGGTGGTTCGGTGAGAGGTTCTTGAGCTGAAGGTGGCCGGCTACTGTGAAACAATGGAGAGAGAGAGAGAGAGAGAGAGAGAGAGAGAGCTAATGTATCCTCCGGGGTATTGAAACTAGGGGTGTGCACCTGTCCAAAAAGCGGACCGGACCGGACCGGAACCGGTTAGGACCGGAATCGGAATTGCAATTTCTTTAGGACCGAAGACCGGACCTGTTTATTTCCGTTCCGGATCGGTCCGGACCTGTTTTTTTCGGCCCGGTCCGGTTTTACCCTACTTTAGACCGAAATTTTTTTTATATATTTTTTTGCAATCTTATAAATGAATTAAATTATTAAATAAATTTAGAAAAAAATTGAAATAATAAGTTGTTTTTGTTCAAAGTATTTAATAAAAATAGTACTTATAAGTAGTGTCAACAAATTCATCAAAACTTATTTTATAATTAATTCAAATTTATAAACTACCGTAAAAATAATAATCTAAAATAAAATATTTAAAAACTAAATATTGGAAAAATGAAATTCATGAATCTAAAACTATATGGATACAATTTATATAATATATTCCGGTCTGGACTGGAAAATTCCGGGTCAAACCTAGACCGGACCGGAAATCCTTAATTTGTAAAACCCAAGGACCGGACCTGAATCTTCCGGACCGGTCCATTCCGGTCCGGTTCAGGTCCAAAATCCGGTCCAGACCTGTTTTTGAACACCCCTAATTGAAACGAGAAAGAAAAATGAAAATGAAAGGGCGTCCAAAAATGCAAACGAGCAGGTCTCGAGTATCCGACCCGCCCTCAAAAATTCATCTGAGTCAGAGACGAGACTTTCTCCCACCGTCTCCAATTTGATTACAAATTGAGAGTTATGATGCAAACTCTTTCGTCTTTTAAAATTATTTTATTTACAGATTAGTATATCAATAAAAAATAAAAATTATATATTAAAAAGCTATGTCAAAAGTTCTACAAAATGATAGATGACAACAATATTTTAATTTATCAAATACTCAACGAAAATACAAAAAAATTAGCAAAACTTATTGAGAAGAGAGGGAAAAAAAAATTATAATCTATTTCGGGACGAATTGAGTATATTTTAGAAAATGGGTCGAACTCAAACTTTATAAATAGAGGCTAGCAGCAGCTGGCTCACTCTCGGGTCAAGCTCAAACTTATTCAAGCTCGTGGCCTAACCCGACTCAAATGAGTAATACTACTACAGAGTAATAATAATAATAATAATAATAATAATAATAATAATAATAATAATAATAATAATAATAAAAATAATAATAATAAAAATAATAACAATAATGAAAATAATGATGATGATGATGATGATGAAAGGAATTGCATTAAAAAGTACTTGGTAATTATAACCATAAAATGCGGAGTAGAATTTACTCCGTATTATCTAATATACACTATAGATACTTTTCTGGAGAAAAAAATAAAATTATAAGTATATTTAATCAAATCAATACATTATTATTGTTATTCCATTATTTATCACATATTGATAAATATGAAGTGGTAACATTATCAAGCAAAACACATAATATATGCTAATTGCTTCTTTGAAAGTACATTCATCTTACTTATTGTATCAAACATTTGGTGAATTATGATATTATCTTATCTTAAAAAGTAATTTTTTAATTACTAAAAAAACTAATACCCATATGAGCCGAATAGGACCGTAGACTGTAGTTATCTATGCGGGTGTGACACGAGATTCAATTACCCCGGAGTATTAAATTTGTGACACCAGATCTAAAAAATTTACAAATATAGAATTTCAGTCGGGTCGATATGTGGGATTTTTGGAGTCTTTTCATAAAAAACAAATGTGGAAATTTTTTAAACAAAGTGAAATTTATGTAAGTTTTAAAATTGTGCAAAGTTTTTAATTCCTCAAATTTTGTGAAGTCCCTTCCCAAACGGGACAAAATACAGACTTTCTTTCTCGTCCCTTCCCAAATTGAAAATGGTGAAGATAGACTGGAGAAGGTAAGAACAGTTTTAGAATTGCTTCGCGTTTGATTCTTACCTTTACTCAGTTTACTGCGAGCTTCGGATTTCATGTCTTCCTCGCCGTGGTTCACAGTACCACGTTCATCGCTCCGCCGCACAACTCCTCAGCCTCTCGTTCCTCTTCATCCTCGCCGCCGCCAGGCAAGTCGCCGTTCTCTTCGAATTTTTGATTTTATACTTTTTTTTTTAGTTTTTTTCACACTTTTTTTTCCTGCTGAACCATAGCCGTCTTCATTGGATTCACATGCTCAGAAAGCTAGGTTTCCGGAAGCTCGCGGGAACGAGCTGATTTACAGGAATTATCTGCCAACACTTCTCTGCTCCTCCCATAGTGATACCGATGTAAAGTTGTTCTGGTTTTGCATTTTCGTTTTCAATTTCGTTAATGTCTGGATTATGCTGGAGCTTCTCGAGTTGTTGTGGTTTCAATTGATTCATTTATTTGCATTTCCATTTGATTTTGAGCTTGAAATTGTGTGGTAGTCAGCTTTTTAGGAGTATTGTGTAGGAAGTATGGTCCTTCCAGGATATTATTCAACATAATTTAAATTTGGCAAAACAAAAATTCAGTGAAATTGAACAACTTCAAGAACACATCTAAATAAGAAGCTGAGACACGGGAAGTCTTAAAACGAAGATGAGAGTTTAGCTTTAGCATAAGCCTAAGCTACACTATTTGTAAAGGAGGTTGGAGTAATTGCTGTTCAACATTCAAGACTGGCATTCACTCATATTCCAGCTGTAGGAGTTGTTACCCTTAGGCGGTGTGTTGATGCAACGATTAACCTCAACTAATTGAAGTAAATGGACACGATTATTCATATACTCCAACTTTGGTTGTCCGCGCGCACGTCCGTACTTATCCAAAATGATTTTCTTTGTTGTTTTATGTTTCAACTTTTAATGCATGAGTTTAAATTTTTTTGGTCTATATATAGTAGAAAATATTAGCAAATATAAAAAATAATTTTATTGCGTTTGAACAAAAATGTTATTTTCCCTCACATTTTCTTTCTTCCCATACTTCGCCTATATTTTCCTCCCTATTTTATTTTTGAAGTTTGTTACATTATTATCAAAGTAGATTGCACCTTCAATGGTGACCAATCTGGGTGATCCTCCTTGGGATTCTTTCGTCTCAATTTTGATGAATGGATTTGCCACATGAGCAGATCGTTTTAGTAATGTGATGTTCTACTTTAAACTGCTTATTCCGGTTACTCTGGGCTTTTGAAGAGAGTCAATCCACCACCTTTTTCCACATAACAGATCAGCAACCCGTGACACTATCCTAGGTTGTGATCATGAAGACAAACACCTCTTAGATGTCCTAAAGTTGCTTCCTTCCTCCTTTTTTTCCCCATTCTATAGTTACTTTCATGTGTGTAGCTTGATTAAGATGGCTAATATATCTCTTATTGTGCATGGTAAGGTTTCTAGCAAACCACAGGATCCTCAACATAGCCTCCCAGACCTACAAGGTATATAGTGTGGAACTTTTAACTGAACTATAATGGTGCATATTTTGACATCATCAACATGACTCAACATTAAAGATTGTGTATCTGTTTATTATTCAGGTGCAGGTGCAGGTGATGGGAGTGATGATAAAAAAGAGCCTTTTTTTGCTAAAGGGTATGTAATGTTTAATGTTATGCTCTGGCAAATAGTGTTTGGTTAGATTTTAAACGCAATCCACGAAGGAGGCTGTGCTCATGCAAATTGTCTGCTATCCATTCTTCTTCCTTTTTCTTTTTGTTTTACACTTTTACTTTAAGTTTTTGTATTATGTATGTGTGTGCAGAAGTGTAAAAATGAATTCATTTCAAGCAGCATTACAGAATAGTCCTTTGTGAGCTCATCACTTGAGACTAATTATCATTTCTTGAACTTTTCAGAATTTTGAAGAAACTGGGAAGATATGGCATTGCAGGGGTATTATCGTATGGGCTACTGAATACTGCCTACTATCTCACCGCATTTCTCGTCGTGTGGTATGAAAAGTGCATAACAAGATGATATATCATCCTTATCTATGTTCTACCGCTAAAAGCATAATCTTTAGAGTTCCTTATGGATCTGTTTGAAATTCAGAAAATG